ACTTGAACATGGGTCTCCTGCATTGCAGATGGATATTTTACCAATTGAGCTATCTGGGAAGCAGTAGATGAAGCACTTTAGCTGTAAAAGAAACTAGTCTGTGTGTATGTGTACGCGTGTGTGTGTGTACACACGTGTGTGGCAGCTACATCCTCTGTAGCAGTGGTGTGTTGATTCTCAGTAGAATTTCTGTGCTAGGTGATGTTTATAGATCTTGTAGTTCAACCTTTCACCTTGTGAACTCTTGAAAATAATCCAGATATCTTGTAATTAGATGGATTTCTCAATGAATTTCATTTAGCCAGTGATTCATCTTAATCTCTTTTTGGTTCCATGTTGGCATCTGACTAGCTCATGGGCTTGCAGCCTTGTGAAATGATGATTCAGTTTATCCATTCGCTGAGTGCGCTGCACTGACCTTCTTCCAAGCCTGGGTTCCTGTTCTAGGAACTCTGGGTTACGTGGTTGCCAAATGCCCTGCAGTCTGCTGTGTTCTACTGTGGACGGCTTGTGTGTTGGTGGACTACTGGTAAGAATGGCTGGTGTCAGCAGGGATGGGTCCCTGTGGGCCCATCTCACCAAGATGAGTGGTGGAAATCTGATCACTTGCTGCAGCTCTTTACCTAGCTTCTCATTAGTGACTTTCCATAGCTGTTATGTTTGTGAGTAGACAGATCTCGAAGTCTTTGGTTCTGTGTTCCTTAAAGACTGAGGTACAATATTGGCAGGGCTGGAATTACAGGGAGGGGAGAGACAGTAGTGGAGGGAGGAAATAAACCACAGATACAGTGCTACCTGGAAGAGCAGAGCTCTTGTGTTGCTCACAGTTCAGTTTTTCCATGTACCGGTGCGCCAGGGGTAAGCTGGCATAGAACACAGACAGGTTTCTTTTAGCTTCAGGGCAGAAGAACTTGAACCATAAAGAAAAATTCAGAGAAAGATGTGATACTAGAATTTCTTACAGAACACTTCCTTCCTGTGAGGGGAAACAGTAACAGAGTAATGTAGGTTTCATAAGTATGCATCATGTTAATCTGCTTTCAGAAATTGCCACAAATCCAGTAATTTGGATTTTCTGCAACAGAGCGTTTTTGGATTTCCTTACTGAAGCGTATTGGACTGGGCATGGCATCCCTCTCTTTCCAGCTGAAATAATGGCTCTATGCTGCTTACAAACCATGGATTATCTGTGGTTTTGGTCCTGTCCCCGGTAGGGGTCCTGGGTATGTTAGGCAGTCAGGTGAAGGGATAGCAAAGGAACATCCTTCGGAGAGCATCAGTTTGATGGGAAGAACCCGGTGTAGCCCGTGCTGGCTGGGTGCTTACTGCTCTGGGACTAGAGAAGGGAGAGGCACTTAAATGTGAAAGGCAGGCTTTTCCTCTGCCTGTGGCAATTTCCATGTAACGTTCATGTTAAGCTGGAAATACTAGGGCTAGCATATTCACTTTCTTGCATGTATACAAAACTGGTTAGATTTAAGTAATGTTCAGCAAGACCCCATTCTAGTACATGAGAGTCACCGTGAAGGTGGTTTCTTCCTATTGTGGCTTGTCATTTGGCCATATGGCAGTAGTGTAAACGAGTCTGTAGCCAGTGGTAACATTTATTGTACTTACTATATCTTCACCGAAAGTTCTGAATTTCTGAATCTAGCTTTGTGTGTTGTCGTACTCTTTGCCGTCTCTGAACCGCTTCACCTTTTGAAGAGGGGGTTTTGCAGACGGTGTTAACTTAGCCTTGTACCAAAGTGAGTCAGGTGCGAGATCTGGACCTCTCAGTGTCCTTAGCAGCTCAGAACTCTGCAGACCATCCTTTGGCCAGTGTCAGGTGCCCCGGCGCTGCTGAACAGGTGAGGGGGTGAGTGCATGGGGGTTTGGTTTTAGTTTTTCTCCTCTTATCAAGCGTTCATATTCCCTTTCTGGGGGGTTGCAAGGCATATGAGGTCTTGATTCCCTGACTAAGGAGCACGTCTGCACACCCCATAGTGGAAGCACCAACTGGTACCACTGGACCACCAGGGATGCCCCCCAGATTTCTTAAAACAGTTAAAGTTTTGTTTTCCAAGTGAAGAAATGCTTGTTTACTCCCTGTTCTTACGAAGATCACTGTAGTCATTACTGTAAAGGTTAATGTGATAAGTATTCTGGGGACTGAAATTCCACCTAAAACTTGGTATGTGATGCAGTGGTTTCTGTAAAAATCTGCAAAAGAAAGTCTTTTTTTAAACTTGCCTTCCACATAGAGTAAACATGTGATAAATTTGGTTCTCACAAGTGGCCTAAGGGAATGAGAAACAAAATTAACAGGCTTAATGGTTCTGAAGCTCCCCTTCACACGGCGGCCTGCAGGGCTGAGGCAGCCGGGGGATGCTTGCTGAAACCAGGGGACGGGTGGTGAGTAGGGGCTTTGTGTGGAGGCATGCCACCCGCTCCTGTGTCTTCCACCCTGTTGGTTATGTATTTAGCAGGGACTGTGGCATGGGACTGTCAAAGCAGAAAAAGGAGTGCTGAGCTTTTAATCACACTGGATACTTCTGGAGTGAGGATACAGTGCTGACTTAGAAGCTTGAAACATTTTGCAACTTTTTATTTCTTTGTGATTTATCTCTTCCTTGTCTGGAGAACTACAGTACAAGGAAGTTTGTTAATGACTTGTGAATAGGGGCAGTTTTTGAGTTGGTGAGGGTTTGCATACTCAGAATTTGCACCTAACTTTTTTCAGGCAATTCCTTAAGGCCCAAATGCAAACTTTTCGTGTTAATCTGTTCTGTGTGTGTTTTTTTTTTTAAATTGTTGATTGTTTTATTTGTGGGAGAAGGGTGTTATATCATGTTTGGGGTGAGATTGTTCGGACTCCCTTCTTGGGGTGATGACAGCTGGTGAAGAAGCTGGGTGCTTGATGATGTCTTGTTAGGGTGCAGTCTTTCCAAGCTCGGGTGGGTTTTGTTAATTCTTTTTTGTCCTTATCACTATCTTACAATAAAAAATGAAATACCTTTTGCTGACCAGAAAGGAAGACAGGAAAACAGTGAGAAGTCTGGGGTTACCTGTGTGGTTGGAGGTGTGGGAACAGGGCCAACCTCAGCGTCCACCTGTGAAGCCCATTGCAGCTTTGGCTCCTGCTGTGATGAGCCCATGTTCATCCGCCTGGGTGCTCCAGCCCTAATTCCAGAGGCAGTGCAGTGGTGCTTGCTGGCTTATGGGGCTTGGCACTTAGATGGAATTGTCAGCATTTTCAGAAATTGAGAGGAAGCCAGGATTTGTGACCTCTTCAGACAGCAGAGTTTCAGGAAACATGGCTCTTGTTGCTGAGCTCAGGGAAATGCTCCTTAGTCCTGGCCCTCGGTCTGCCCCACCTTTCTTTCCACCATTAACTAGACCAGCTTTATTCATGTACCGATTCTGACACATAGAAACGAAAGATCAGGTGGGTGGCCAATACTCTGTGCAGTCAGGCTGTTGTGAGTTGTGTGTGTGTTGTGAGATCTTTCTGAATACTGTATTTGCCCAGTCATGAATTATCAGGAGGCAGGTTTTATCAGAAATGTATCAAGAGCCAGAGTCAGCTCTGAAGTGAAGTATCCCTGACCTTGAAGCTTTATCTTTGTTTGCAGAGATTTCATAAATGGACATGTGAAAATTAAGCCAAACAAGCAAATATTTCTTAGGTGTCATCAAGAATTTATTTGAAATATGTGTTTAGGTTGACATGGCAGGAACTGTTAAGTATGTTGTGGTCTCAAAAATAACTGATGTTAAAATGAAGTTCTGGGGGCAAGAACATGAGGCTTAGTTCTAGCTAGGAAAGCTGTTGTTATAAAGCTAACTCTGGCTATTGCAATCAAAATTTTTTTCTTAGTCACAGTGCTGAAGAAAAACGGGATGTACTGACTTCCTGAGATACTACAAAGAAGTAAGAAGTAATCACATGGGTTTTTAAAAAAATATATTTAATCTTTTTATACCCGGTGGAACCAATTTTTCTGTCTTTGGTGGTTTTATTTTGAAGAAAAGAATTCAGAGGGAAATACTTGGGATTCCCTGTTCCCTCATCTTCTTAGGTCCAGTCTCCACTTGGCATCTCCATCTTTCTGTGTTCAGTAACTCAGTGTCCCGGCAGCCTCACTTCAGCTCTAGCTTACAGTTGTGGGCCTGGAGAGGGATGAGATGCTTAATCCATGCCATTTCTCATCTGACGGGCCTTCAGATCCACTGTCAGCCTATCTTTCTTAAGAATGAAAGAATTTACCATATTTTAGATTCAGTAGGAATTTCTTTTTTTTTTTCTTTTAAGGGAAACCATTTGGCCACTTCTTTAAAGAATTCTTTTAAAACTGGCAGAACTGGAGTTGAGTGTTATTTTCCTCTTGAATTTCCAGCTCACAAAAATCAGTTATTTTTGTTTCCATGGTAGTGCTCACCCTTTTGCTTTATTTATATGGAATCACAGTGGAATTCTGATAGTTTACGTCTTTGTTGGTTTTTACAGTTCATCTCCTGTTCTAGATCTCTCATCTCCTTGAGACAGTCCCTGAATATATATAGGTCCACTCTGGAGTGGATTTTTCTCTCCATCCAAGACCTCACACCACATGACTGTTCTTTGTACCTTCTGTCTCTAGGTTATACCAGCCTCTAACTTTTAACACCTCTTGACTGTTTTTGTAATTTGGGTATGTATGTAGGAAGTTCACGGTTTCATTTTTATCTATTTGAAGCCTTCTTAGTACATTTGGTTAAATGTATTTTTCACACAAAGTATGTAATGTACATGGTATTAGAATCATATAGTTGCTTTGTTTAGGTTATAGGAATTCACTGGACCCACCCATGCACTTAAGAGCAGTTGTCCCCACAGTTGGAAATAGATACCTCAACTGACTTTGTTCTAAATGGTCATGGATAGATTGCTAAAAGTTATTACTAGCTTCCCATTTTTGGATGGATGCTTTTTAGGACTAAAGTGGACTTGCGACTAATAGCTAAAAAATGTATTTCAGCTGAGATCTGTGTCAGTGGACCTGAATGTTGATCCCTCGCTTCAGATTGACATACCTGATGCACTCAGTGAGAGAGATAAAGTCAAATTTACAGTGCACACCAAGGTAAGTGACAGAATGACGTCAGTAATGAAAACAGTGCCAGATTACATCTCTGCTACAGTGAGTGTGAGCTAAAGTGCTACTGAAGGGTAGCACTCCTGAGGGGAGCCCCTCCTTACTCACTCTCATCAGGTACCTGCTCCTGTTATAGCCCTATGCTCTGTGGGAGAGCCTTGGGCCCCACTGCTGGTGTGAGTGTGGCTTGTGTTCTGCCTGGGAAGCTCACCAGTCCTGCGCAGTTCCACCTTTGTTTCTAATTTGCATGCGTGGCAAGTGCTTGCTTTTCCCATCTTTGCTCAGTTCTTGGCCATCTCCGAACCTATTATGATTTAAGACTTTTTCTCCAAGTTTTAAAAATATTATTTTCAAGTGTAACTGATTTACCATGTGTTAATTCTCCTCCAGGTTTCTAGTTTGACAAGAGCATTATGCCAGTCTGAAGACCACAGGAAGTTTTAACTTCCCAAAGCCCTTTCAGGAACGTTTTTAGCCTCCTTTCTGCTTCCATGCTAGTTAAGTGTACTCAGTGCTTGTCTTATGCCAGGCACTATTTTAAAGGGGTTGCATGGACCTGATTTTCTAGGCATGATTTCCGTTATGATGTTTTCTGATGGCCATCTTACAGGTGAGGGACTGAGGTACAGGTATAGATAAAGTAAGTGGTAGAGACACAGTCTGAGGCAGGATGTTTGGAGCGAGAGCTCTTGGCAGGTGCCTCCCCCAGCACATGTGTGTCCCTGAGGTCCTGTCCTCTCCCTCTTGGGTTTCTCTGCTGCCCTGAGGTATGCATGATTAGCATACCTGTTTCTCAGGAGGCAGTGTGAGTATATCTATCTGAGTCGACCTGAAAGGTGGAGCTGTGTGACTAGAATTCCTTGAAGAACACATTGAATCTTAGCTCTGACTTTCCTAGTGGTAGGGAGGTCATGTGTTGCCACTTTGTTCTTTATTAGATCTCTTAAAAACCGGGTGATTTATTGTGCATTTTTCCCATTGTGCACTGCATGAAACCCAAACCACTTTTTCAGAAAATGGTAGTTAACTGTCACTTTGTCTTTTCTTTACAGACCACACTGCCCACATTTCAGAGCCCAGAGTTTTCTGTTACAAGGCAACATGAAGACTTTGTGTGGCTACATGACACCCTTATTGAAACTACAGACTACGCTGGGCTTATTGTAAGTGCATTTTGAATAATCAGATAATTATCGAAGCCAGTTTCTAATACCTTGCTATTCATTTTGTTTTGAGAGATTTACCCACATCATATAATGGGTTGTGAAAATAGTCTGAGTTCATCTGTCAACTAGCATATATGTTAGCTGTTACTGGTAAAGTCTAAAGTAAGTGAAAACAGTGTTTAGAAGCACAGTCTTAGAGTCCACAGTCTAAGAGGGCAAGCAGCTCCGTGGTGTAACGTCTTGTCTCCTTTTGGGTGTGGCGTTTCCTTTCAGCCATCAAGTTGAATTGATTCCTGGTGGTGGTGGTGGTTGGTGTGTGTAGTCTGCTGAGAAGGCAGTTGTCTTTGTGCTCAGCTGTGGAGAGTTAATGCCTGGCTACAGAAAGACACTTAGCTGATTTTAAAGGACAGAGAAATGTGGCTTGATCTGCCAGGCCAAGAATCTGTCCAAATAGTTAAAACAAAATCAGTATTGAAGCTTATGTTTAAGAATGCTCATGCAAAATTAGAATCTTTTGTCCTGGAATTAAAAAATTCCGTGTAAGTCCAGAGGTTAATACCAGAGGTTAATACTTCATTGGTTTTATTTTAACATTGGTTGTAATATATAAATTAGATAGTTGCAGCAGGATATACAGTTTGCCTTATAAATTGTTCAGTTACCAACCCAACAGATGTCAAAGTGAGTGCCCAGTTATAGGAAGGACCCTTCTCTTTTAAATGGCCAAAAGGAACGAGGGCGAGAGAAAGCACAGTTGACTTTCAGAGCGCCCCCTCCCCCGCCTCCTGAGGGTGGGGGTGAGCCGGGAGGGTGCTCAGGAAGTCAGTGCGTTGCCTGCAGATCCCGCCAGCGCCCACCAAGCCTGACTTCGATGGCCCTCGAGAGAAGATGCAGAAGCTGGGAGAGGGTGAAGGGTCGATGACCAAAGAAGAGTTTGCCAAGATGAAGCAGGAGCTGGAAGCGTAAGTGGCTTTCCTTGATGGGGCCCTGTCTTCTGAGGAGAAAAATGAGAATCTGACAGCTAAGTTTTTCAAGTGTAGCAGTTAATGAATTGCATGGCTACTGTCAGTGAGTTGCATGGGGGTGTGGGGGCCTGGTCTTTAGACGATTCCCTGGTGATACTTGGAGAAGGAAATGGCAACCCATGCCAGTATTCTTGCCTGGAGAATCCCATGGACAGAGGAGGCCTGGCAGGCTACAGTCCATGGGGTTGCAAGAGTTGGACACGACTTAGCAAGTGAACCACCTGGTGATACTGGACAGACTAATTTTTCTCTTTGTAAACCATGCTAGTCATGGAATGTTGGTCTGGCAAACTGAAGAACTAAACCTTTGACTGTAATGTATAAAAAGCTTTCTTCCCTGATGTTTGTTTACTGGAAATACAGTTGAAACTAGATTGTAGCAAGTGCTGTTAATAAGGAACCATTTTAACAATGGCTACATTGATGGCTTGAAAGAAGTCCAGGTCTGCAAGAAGCTTACTTTAATCTGATTGTAATTCTTTCAAACAAAAATGGATTCTTTATGCATAGTTGGAGGTTTGCACGAACTATCCTCCTGCTCCTTCCTCTTGCCCTTCCCCTATTCATTGGGGTCCATTTCAGCAGTTCTTGCCAATATGCTGCCACAGACCCAGGTGAGCTAGGCCCGGGCTCACACTCCTGCCAGGCCTACCTGGGCAGCTCTGAGGACAGAGCACCAGACTTGCAGACTTGGTTTCCTGCTGTTGAGCGTGGAGTGTGTAGGTTGAGATAAAGCCACTTTGTAATTTCTGATAGTTCCCAGCTTTCTGAGACTCCTCTCTGTATACATGGCTGCAAAATTAAAGGTCTGTCGTGGTTTTGAAGAAGCCATTGTTGTGTGCTGTAATTGCACGTGGGTTTGGGCTTCACAGACATGTCCATCAACTCTGTCACTTCCCCTTGCATGGCTATTTTACAAATTCCAAAATGAGAGCTGACTCATTACCTAACTGGATACTGAATTATACCAGGCTGCTTGGGTCCAGTTCAGGTATTGTGTGTAGCTGTAGGACAGCACATGGTGTCCCAGGAGTGGTACTTGGCAGTGAGCTGAGCTGAGCCTTGTGCCTTGTATTGCAGTGAGTACCTTGCCGTCTTCAAGAAGACTGTGTCTTCACACGAAGTCTTTCTTCAACGGCTCTCCTCTCACCCTGTTCTCAGTAAAGACCGCAACTTCCATGTTTTTTTGGAATATGATCAAGATGTAAGTCATTTTAATTCCATTTACACAATCTAATTGCAGTGTACAAAAAAATACATATTTTCTGAAAAATTGACTTTCAAGGTTAGATTTCTTATCAATGCAATGGAAACCTTTCTTAGACCACCCCCTCCCCCCTGCCTCCCACAGGGCAGTAAGTCCAGTGTATATAAAACGTTGCATGCGAAGATTTTGACCCTTTTCCCCCTCAGTTTTGGGATTATTTGAAAGTTGATCCACATTCATTTTTTTCCTTGAAAGGAGACATATGGTTGCCTTAAAAGTATACATTCTTTTTCTTATATATGAGGCAGGCACTGACTTACACATTTCCTCATAGTCTTCTAACCAGTGAATAATAGCTTAACAACAATTCTACCCAGAATTTAAGGACACTAAGACTTGATGCCTAGATAGTTTTTCAAAATATCTCCTGAGTCATAGAATTTGCAAGAGACTCTGGTTTAATCCCTGGGCCAAGAAGATCCCCCAGAGTAGAGGATGGTAGCCCACTTAAGTATCTTGCTTGGAAAATTCCATGGACAGGAGAAGCTGGTGGGCTAGAGTCCATGGGGTCGAAAAAAGTCAGACACGACTGAGCACACACACACAAGACTTGATACATAGATAGTTTTTCTAAACACCTGCTGAGTCATAGAATTATCACCTGTCTTTAGGTTTAGTTGTCTGATATTTTAGATGTGGTTACGATGGGGTTAAAGGTGTCTTGGGTGTGCTTATTACTAGTGAACAGTTACTTGGGGTGTGTTCAGAACTTGATGGAAAATATGTGTACCATTAACTATTTTGAATTTCTTTTCAGCTAAGTGTCAGGCGGAAAAATACCAAAGAGATGTTTGGTGGCTTTTTTAAAAGTGTGGTGAAAAGTGCTGATGAAGTTCTTTTTTCAGGAGTTAAGGTAAGTGGTCTTTAGCTGTTTAAGAAAATTCTCTCTGTGTGAATAGGTGACCTTTTCTTTCTTCAGAATAGATATTTGTGAAACAAATGGTATTAGTTTCTCAAAAATGGAAGTATTTTCAAGTTTTGGTTATTTTTATCAACTTACTGAACTTTTGCTCATTTTCCCAAAATATCTGTTCTTTCCCAGGAGAAGGGATGAGAGCCTCACTCTTCAGTTTTCATTGTCTCCTTTTCTGTAAGGAAACGATATTCAGTTATTCGTCAAAAAATAAACCATGTAACCAGTCTTTGGTGCTATTCTCCACAGCTGCACTGTCCCTGTAGCCCCAGCCTTGTGTGGAGTTGAGCACCTGACCAGTGTGGTGCCCTGGTGTAATTAAGGGCATATTTTGTCTTCACACTGGATTTGTAGGCCTTTGGTAATGAAGAAAACATAAAACATGAGAAGTAATTTTACCTGTTTCTTTTTATACTGTGGCTACTAAGTAGAAAGTTCTAAGTGGCACATTTGGCTCACTTTATTTCTGTTGGACTGTGCTGTTCTGGAACATAAATAGATGTCCCAAGTTTCTCAGTAGCATCCTAGGTGTGGTTTATTTCTTTGCTCCTCAGTTACTGTCTGGTGTCTGACTTTGCCACTTGTGGTCTTGAGTAAGGAGACTAGGATGTGGATAACGCAGGTCTTGTCAGAAGTTTGGAAGCTCTCGGGCTGTCTCTGGGTGGTGGTGAAGGTGTGAAGTGGGGGCGTTTGGCATCCCTGGTCAGTGCCCCCCAGATGCCAGTATTGCGTCCCAGGCCATGTTTCAGAAATGCAGGTATCTGAGGCAAGGTAGCAACCCACCTGGCCAGACCACCACTTTGGAATTTTGGAATTGCTGTTGGAGGTCAGCAAGTTTTACTGGGCTGTGCTAAATGACTCTTCAAAATGGTTCTCTTGATGTTTCTTGCCAGCCTTTTTCAGTTTTCGCTAATCCCTGATGTGAAATGTTAATTTAAAAAATTATTTAAATTTCCCTGGTCCTTAGAGGTTAAATTTCTTAATGCCTGAGCTTATTTTTTGTTTGTTTTTTTTCCCAATTACTTTCGAGCTTATTTTTAAAATATAAAATAGATATTCATATGTAGTTTTGTTTCCTTGAAACTTTTTTTCCTTTGCTTTTAGGAGGTAGATGACTTTTTTGAGCAAGAGAAGACTTTCCTCATCAACTATTACAACAGGATCAAGGATTCCTGTGCAAAGGCTGACAGGATGACCAGATCTCATAAAAGTAAGTGCACTCACCCACTAGCCCCCTACCTCTGCTCAAGTGCCAGCTTTGTTCACATGAAAGGACTGTCCTTGTTCCCACAGGTGTCGCAGACGATTATATCCACACCGCAGCCTGCTTGCATAGCCTGGCCTTAGAGGAGCCTACAGTCATCAAGAAGTAAGTTTTCCTTGGGAGACATTTTCTCTCATCCCCTAATTGAAAACTGTTGTGCAGTTAAGAATATAATGAATAAGGGCTGCATAGTTCAGTTCTGTCTTGAGTACAAGCTCATAGAGGGTGGATGGTCTCCAGCATGCATTTTATACACCCTCCAAACAGGGGTACTTCTAAGCCATCTATAGGGAATTCAGGGCACTTCTGTACCAAGTGTGGTAGCTGTTGTCAAGGACTTGATTGCTGTGTTTGTTGTTAATTTTTGACTGCTCTGGGGCTATTCTCATTATGGTGCATGGACTTTTTGTTGTGGAACTCAGAGCTCTAGGCATGCAGCCTCAGTAGTTGTGGTACACAGGCTTGGTTTCCCTTTCACAGCATGTGGAATCCTCCCAGACCAGGGATTGTCTCCTATGTTGGCAGGCAGATTTCTATCACCTGAACCACCGGGTGGTTTGATTAGTTTGATTTGGAGTTGTCACTGAGTGAGGTTTTTTAGCGTCTCCAGGTTATTTCTGGTATGAGATGGTACAGTTGACCCCCTCCATATCCATCTGCATCTGCAAACTAGAAGTAACTGCAGATAGGAAAACATTTTTTAGAAAGTTCCAAAAAGCGAAACTTGAATTTGCTGCACATCAGCTATTATTTGCATAGCATTTACATTGTGCTTAAAACTATTTGCATCCCTTTACATTTTATCATGCACAGGAAGTAATCTAGAGATGATTTAACTTAAGAGGGTGTGCATGTATTATATATATCAGGGGCTTGAGCATCTGTGGATTCTAGGGTCCATGAAGGGTGTGGCTGGGTTCTAGAGCCAACACCCAGCTGTTACCATGGAATGACTGTTCTACTAGGCTTGGTCTAGTGGGTGGTAGTATATTTAAGACCTTAAGTCAGAATCATGTATATTTGCAGGTACCTGTTGAAGGTGGCTGAGCTGTTTGAAAAACTTAGGGTAAGGATTTTTATGTTGGTCTTCATAATATATATTTTATAATCTGTAGATTTCTGCTTACATGATGGTGGCCTTTTTTTTTTTTTTAAAAAAAAACAGAAAGTGGAGAGTCGAGTCTCCTCAGATGAAGACCTGAAGCTGACCGAGCTCCTGCGCTACTACATGCTCAACATAGAGGCTGCCAAGGTGAGGGCTTCTCCCAAACAGGCCTGGTGGTGCAAGTGTGTTCTCTGGGTTAGAAATGAAGGGAGATGGGGATTTGTTAGCATCATTCATGTAAGTTATATCACCCTAAATAAAGAAGTAAACTGAGGCAAGCGCCAGTTTATTCAGGAAGAGCAGAGGAATTGTAGGCCGCATGGGAAGCCACAGGAGATTTCACTGGAGGTCTAGAGTGGGCTGTATTTTGGGGCAAGGAGTGCAAAGACAGAGAGTCTGGGAAAGCATGTCATTGGCATGAGGGCGCTGGTCCTGAGCAGAAGCTCATTGACTGGGCGCTCACTGCTCGGAAGGGGAGGTCAGGCTGGGTCTTCTGTGCGTCAGGTATTTGTGGAAGTTAGTCTCTCAGTTCCTACATTATATTCTGAGGGTGCGTGCGTCCCCCAGGTCCATCTTTGATTGAGATCTTCTCAGTGACGTGCCTTCTTCTTAGGTCTGATACCAAGTCCTTAGTGTGTGTTCTTCAGGGGCCTGGAGCAGGAGGGCTGGTGCCATTAAGAGTTTGGGGAGTTAATATGCTCCTGGATGGGGACATAAGTGGACATACACCTAAGGGGCTCTTTCTGAGGCAGGAAAGGCTTTGGGGTTTGTTATCTTTTATTGAATTGTAGTTGTCACTGCATCCTTTGAGTCATGAAGCATTGCTTAACCAAAAGCAAGATGAAGTGTAAGCAGAGTGACATTTGGGAATGGAACACACATTCTTCACTGTCTGTACTGTCCTGACGACATGTTTAAATTATTTTTATGTCATTGTCTTTAATTCACTAAGTCATGTCCAACTCTTTGTGACCCCATGAACTTCAGCACACCAGGTCTCCCTGTCCTTCACTATCTCATTTGTCTGTTGCTCAAACTCATGTCCATTGAGTCGGTGATGCCATCCAACCATCTTATCATGTTGCTGCCTTCTCCTGTCCCCAGTCTTTCCCAACATTGGGGTCTTTTCCATTGAGTTGGTTGTTCGCATCAGGTGGCAAAGTATTGGAGCTTCAGCATCAGTTCTTCCAGTGAATATTCAGGGTTGATTTCCTTTAGAATTGGCTGGTTTGATCTAGCTTTCCACGGGACTCTCAAGAGTCTTCTCCATCGCCACAGTTAGTATCAATTCTTCGGCTCTCAGCCTTCTTTATGGTCCAACTCTCAAATCTATACATGACTGCTGGAAAAATCATGGCAAAGTGGTGTGTCTGTATTTTAATATGCTAAGTTCATCATAGCTTTTCTTCCACGGAGCAAGTGTGTTTTAATTTTGTGTCTGTAGTGATTTTGGATCCCAAGAAAACAAAATTTGTCAGTGTTTCCACTTTTTCCCCATCTGTTTGCCATGAAGTGCTGGGAACCGGATGCCATGATTTTTTTTTTTTTAATGAGTTTTAAGCTAACTTTTCCCCTTTCTTTCACCCTCATCAAGAGACTCTAGTTACTTTTCACTTTCTGCCATTAGAGTGGTATTATTATCTGCATATCTGAGGTTGTTGATATGATTTTTATATGAAATATACTAAATTAGGCAGCATAAAATTTTAAGCTAATGGGAAAAGGTCATCAGGAAGTAGAAATTCTTTCCCCCATAGTTTAGTTTTATTTTAAGCGATTAGTCTTTTGACATGTTTTCTTTTGGGAAATAATTCTGTGGTCATCACTGTTTGGTTCCTTCTCTTGATGCATGTTGAGATCTTAAGGAGTGGGAGTACATGAGGTGGCTGCCATCTGACCTTTAAGGCAGTAAACCAAGGTACTTGTCTGGTTCTTAGAGACTTTAGATGGTCTTCCTGTTCTGTTCTAGAGATTTTTCAGTATAGGTTTAACTACCATGTATCATGTCTGTCAATTTTCCTTCTAGGATCTCTTATACCGACGCACCAAAGCCCTCATTGACTATGAGAATTCAAACAAAGCTCTGGATAAGGCCCGGTTAAAGAGCAAAGATGTCAAGCTGGCCGAGGCACACCAGCAGGAATGCTGCCAGAAGTTTGAACAGCTCTCTGAATCTGCAAAAGAAGGTGAGTGAGTCTGCTTCTTTCTTTTATGCTTTCTTTTTAAAAAATATTTTTATTTGCTCTGTCAGATCATCATTGGAGGATGGGAGATAATTTTGTTGCTGTGATGGACTCTAGTTGTGGCATGCTGGCTAGCTTCGTTGCTTCTTGGCACATGGGATCCTTGTTCCCTGACCAGGGATCAAACTCATACTCCCACCATTGCAGTGCTGATTCTTAACCCACTGGATCTCCAGGAAAGTTCCTACTTTCACTTTTTATTGGGAAACAAGTTAAAAAGTTTATAGAGAGAAGTTGTCCAAATGGTGCAGAGGATGCCCACATGTCCTCTGTCATCTGCACACGTTCATGTGTTCCTGCTTGTGTAATTTTATAAACACATCTGGGTTTTTTTTTTTTTTAACTGTTTAAGTTATATCCTTCTTAGTTGTTTTATCTGTAAAAACTTGGCTATGTTTCTTCAATACAGTTACCAATGTGGGTTGTATTTAGTTTTCGCTCTAAAATCTCCCTTAATCTGGAAGGAACATATCTCAGGTTTAGTTTCTTTCTTTTTTTTTAATCACATTTGTCTTTTGGAAGACCGATTTCTTTTTGCAAATATTAATAGATGTCCCTTACTTTTGTTTAGTCTATCTCCTCACGATTGGATCCCGGATGCTATGTAATTGTGTCTTTTCGAGGGCATCACATTTGAGGATATGTTGTGTCCATCTTCCCTTCATATCTGTGTGTTTTGATGACACAGTCATGGGTTTGTCCACTGTGTACTTGACTTTTTTTTTTTCTATGAGCCGCTGATGAGCAGACTGTAGGAGACAGTGTGAGACCAAGCATCGCCCTTCCTCCCTGGAGTAGCCAAAGGCAGTTGTCTCTCCTCCACTCCAGCCCTCCTTTTCCAGGTCAGCTTTCAGTGCTGCCTATCTTTTATTAACACAAGCTTTCCCTTCTCTCCCTTTTTAAAAATCATTTTTACTGGAATTCTGGATTCCTATTTTCCAGAAGTTTAAAATTTTTTCAGTGTATGAAGCTATTTTGGTGTTTATAGTGTCCGGAGTGAGCCCATGGGCATGGCTTTAAGCTGGCGTGTCCTACGACACCCCATATTTTTGAGCATTTAAATACTCTGTTTTAGTCTTGGACTTCTCCTACTCCAGCCCTGAAAATCACCATTTCTTCCAGGAGCCCATATTGGGTACTCTGTGTGCCCATTGCTTCTGGGGTGCCTCTGCTCCTGGACCCTTCCACTGACAGTGAGGAAGTGTCAGGGTGTGTGCATACACACCTACTCCTCAGGGATCGTGAATCCATGATATCGTGACTCAATTCTGGTCCATTTCCAGGGTTCTTTCTTGCCCTCTACCATTCCAGGAAAATGGGCTTTTTAAAATAATTTAGGACTTCCCTGGTGATCCAGTGGTTAAGACACCACACTTCTAATGCAGGGGGCACAGGTTCAATCCCTGGTCAGGAAACTTAGATTCCACATGCCAAAAATAAGAAGATAAAATACAGTTTTATAACTATTGGGAGATGGCATACCATTTCCATTAAACATGAGTATAGTAGGTAGTCTTTTCCATAGGGGATCTCAACTGCCGTGAAGCTGTTAGGGGCCGTGGAACATACCAGAGCAAAAGTTGAAGACTGTGGTCTTACAGAATGTGAAGGTGCATTATAGTGTATTCTGTACTTGATTCATCCTCAAGACACCCTCCCCCTTCAAAACTCTAGGTTTCCATGTGAAATGCATATCATCATAAGACTTATCTCAGAATGTTCCCCTCCTCCGTGGTTCTGAAGTCTTGGTGGATCTGGAGGGTTCTCCTTTTTTTTGCTGAGTCTGGCCAGGACTATGGGGCCCTCCCTGGGAGGGACTGGGCTCCTCTGTGCAGAATCTCTGCTCATGGCTATGGACATGCCCATGTGGCTGCCCTTGGGATTCTTTTAGAGAGGCACCTGTTCCTCACTGCCCTGTACTTAAAGTAAAATTCTAGCTTAAAAAAAAATAGCTAATTTAAATGTATAAGGGAAAAGACTTCAAAGCTACCACATTGAAATCTCAGTAATTATATAGACCAGAGTTAGTGGCTTTGATAATTTTTGTGTTTTTCTTAAAATAGTGCCAATTTAGCCCGAACTTTGTTGCGGAAGGTTTGTGCTGATGGCGTTTGATAAGCCTGGGTGTACTGCCTGTAAAAGTGGAGTGTGCTGTAGGATACCGAGATGAGTGGCTCTTAGCCTCACGGCCCCAGGTTGAGGCTCTAAAGTTGTGGCTGACTAGATGGGAGTTGTTGAACAAGCACAGCACCATGGGCAGGCATCCTGGGAGATGGATGGGTGACTCTTGAGTTCTGTTTGGTCCTGGAAGGAAGGAGGAGAGCTTATTATGACATCCCACATGACCAGCCTGATAATATCTGAACTACTGTCATTAATGTCAGTATATGTTTTAGTTTTTACGTGGCTCTTAACATGACATTTCTTTTCTACTCAGTGCTGTGTAGGTAAGGTTCGAGAGGGTGAGTTTGCTTCTCAGACCCTCTGCCCCCGCTGAGGCTGAGGGGAATTTGATCAAAGGAAGTTTAAAATAACCCATAAAAAGACCCCTGCTGCAAGTCTGTGTGGCCCACCTCCCCACCCACTCCCCACATGCACTGCATCCTGGAGGGGAAAGGCCAAGCAGCTCAGCTCAGGGAACCGCAGGTGTTCAGGAGCGGTTTCCATGTCAGGTGTGTGTCCCGATGGCAGAGAGAAGTGAAAGGTAGTGGGTAGTGGGAACCAGAGCTCTAAAGATCATTTTGTTTGTGAAAATGAGGTATGGAAGTTAAAGATGGAAATGGCTCAGTTTTTCTTGGTAAACTTTGTTTTGTAGAGCTAATCAATTTCAAACGGAAGAGAGTGGCAGCGTTTAGGAAGAATCTAATTGAAATGTCTGAACTGGAAATAAAGCATGCCAGGGTAAGTCTTATCTTCACACAAGTCAGCTTTGGAGGGTGTTTTTCAAATTAACTTCGCAATTCACTATTCCAGTATGTCATGCAGTTGGGGCTGGCTTTGTGGTCTTAATCCCCTGTGGGTGGATGGGAGCCAGTTGATGGAGTATTTTTTTCCACTGCAAACCAAAAATCTGAAATGCAGTCTTGATGAAAAGCTGCTTTGTGAGAGGAGCAATCTTGGTGGCAGTTACCCTGCTTCCCTCCTGACGCCCTGTGGGCCATGCTGTGGAGGGCTTGTCCTAGTAATTTGTTAGCAGCCATCGTAGCAATTGAAAGCTCAAGTTTGCCAACTTGCTAACTTTAGATTTCTGATACTAATTCCTTTTTGGTTTAAAAAGGAGGGAAAAGTCCTTACAGATGTAATGTGTGTAGGATAATTTAGCCCAGAGGAGACAGAGAGCAATGGTTCTCAGTGCTGGAGCACGTTAGAGTCTTATTCAAGCTCTTCAGGGTTTTTCTGCCCACGCCCAAAGCTCTGTGGGTGGTTCCTGGGTGCAGCTGATCCTGAACCCCTCAGGTGCTGTCTAGTCCAGGGCAGTTGGGTCAGTGTCACTACTCATCCACACTGGTTAAAGCAGGAAATCTGGACAATTTGTGTGTGTATTGAATTCCTTTATTTTGACCACAACAGAGATGTTTCCTCACTTGGTTCTTTAAGTCCTACCATACCTGACCTTCTAAATTGGAGTTTTAAAATATCATTTGTGTGTCATTTATACATAATGTTCTGAGTATTCTGTTATGTGAATTCCTTTAAAGCGAGAACTTTGTAAAACATATCCCGCCAAGTCCTATGTGAATATTTGTCATTTATAATCTCACTCACAACTGTTTTTAGCAACTTTTTATCCAGTCTTTCCAAGGCCTTTGACCTCTCATATCACGTGTAGGTTCAGCCACATCAGTGGGATTGGCGTGGCTGCAGTGGGAGCAGACCTGGGGTGGTGGTGCTGACTGAGGGCAGTGACCGGGGCGAGGGGACTTGTGGTCCAGGTGTCACTGCATGAAGAAACAAGCACCAGCCCAGATGTCTGAGGGTCTGAGGCCTGAGCCCAGGTGACTTGGAGGTGGGAGGCCTGGAGCATTCACTGGATTCCTTTTTCCAGAACAACGTGTCGCTCCTGCAAAGCTGCATCGACTTGTTCAAGAACAACTGAGTGAAGGACTGAATGTGAAGAAAGACAGCATCACTTGCACTCAAAATCATTACCACAGAAGATTTGATTTATCTTGACTTCAGTTTAAAATTATGTGAATACGTCTTTTGATTTCTAAAGATCTTAACACTTAACCATGTTGGTTTAAAAATATTTCTATTGCATGCTCCTTGGACATAACTAATCTTGATGGCATTTAATACCTCAGTGGGTAGAATCTTAAGTACTGGGTTCTCCTCTAATTTGTAGTGATGAAGAAAGGGTGCGGAATCACGTGCCTTCTGGAGCAAGTGTAATCAGCAGGGGCCCCGCACATGTCGTCTCAAGTTTCATGTGCCCGGGTCGCTATAATTTAGGGTAGGTGCCTGTTAATAGCAGATGAGTCAGCTACTTGTTACAGGTAACAGACATTCCATCCCTTTGTCAAGTGATTTTCCCCTTTCTTACTCTCATGGATCGATAGTCACCTTCAGTTGTTTGTACTATAACAAGAGCAAGAAAAATATCATATCTTTATATATACCCTTTGCAACTCCATTTTTGTAGCTGGGATACAAATATTTGTGGGGAGAGGCTTATCTTGAGGGTATAAGAACAAGTAATGTGAACCCCTCCCTTCCTGGTGGGGGTGCAGTATGTGTGTGCTTGGACTTTTTATAAAGCATCCAATAAAAGAATCCATGCTCTCCTGTCTGGAGTGATTCTGGGGGAAACGGGCCCAGTGCGCCGAGGCTGTAGCTAGCTTTGGGGTGGTGGGATAGCTGCCTGGTGCTGTCTTGGCCTCTCTTCTCATTCTCACATTCAGGGGACAGGCCTGTTCATAACGGTCCATCTGCCCCATTGTCATCACTGAGCCTTGAGGTGGTGTCCACCAGATTTCCAAGTTTTATAATTATTTGAAAGATATACTTTGAGACTATAAAAAAGTTCACCCACCCCACTGCTTTTAGCAGTCTTAATCAGTTGTAACTGGTGTGGGTGTTGTAAAACATTGGTTTTGAACAAATGTTAAACTGATGTTGAAGTCTTGTCTTCCCAGCCAGTTAAGCAGCTAAAATTTACTCAACAGGCCTGGACACAGTTGTTCCTGCTCTCTTGTTGATTTAAACAGTCTGGGTTCCTAACAGTGTCTCCCGTCTTGCTCACCTGGCGGCCCGGTAACAGTAACACTCGCCCCAGCCACAGTAGCACAGGTGTGTTTGGGGGTGCACCTGGACCCAGGAGTTGTGGCTGCTGGCCCACCTTGCCTCAGGGCTTAACGGGGGGCACTTGGTTTGGACAGCATGGCTGGGTGTGGTAAAGGTGGCTGGGATACTGGGGACCAAGTCCTGGACCTGCATAGTGGCTCAGGGGGCTCCCCTTCTGAGCCAGCCAGGTCTGTAGTGCAGCAGGGCTTTCAACTAGCTGCCCATTACGGTCCTGTGCTTGTGTTTACCTTCTGATCATGATCTTGCTGGTCACGAAGCTCCATGGGGTTCTGGGTGGGTGGGGGCATTTCTAGTCCTATCACCTCTCGCCCCATGTCCATCAGTGGAGCCATCACTGCCTTTCTGCAAACCTGGGCTCTTCCCCAGGGGCCAGGTGAACTGGGCTCCAAGAGGACAGGCTCCCCTGTCCCCACACCCTTTAGCACGGGCAGAAGGCACCCCTACCTGTTCAAGCAGAGCGAAGTGATTCCTTATTGCCATTCAAAAGGTGTTCACTTTGTGTTTATAATCTTTATTTCTGACTACTAGAAAGGAATTCAATCTATAAACTAGGAAGGAGAAATCTTCAATCATACTGCATCCCATGACAGTTACTGAATGTTTCTGATTTCCCCTGTACCTATGTGTGTAGTTGTTGGTATTTTGCAGAAAACTATCCAGGGCTTGGTCTCTGGAGCCCAGAAGCCTGAACACTTCTGCATCTTTTGTCTGGACTGTCAGTCCCACCAGAAAGGGCAGGACCCCCTGCAGTGTGGAGGAGGTGAAGGTGGGCCACACACACACAACCCCACCCCAGCTCCAGCAGCTGCCTTCTCCGTGCTGCAAAGGCTTCACTTAGATGGAAAGATTTAGCACAGCCATTTTAGGAGGATTTTAGTTTTAATTGGGTCTTACTTTCATGCTTTACAAAACCTTTTTAAAGCTTGTTAAATTGTGAGACCTGTAATCTTGGGAAAAGAGAGCCCATAATCCCAGCCCACAGCCACTTCATCCTACACCTGCCTTTCAGCTCTTGAATTAATTCATGTGGTGCACCCTCAGCCTAAGGAGGGTTTTTATCATCAGTTAAATGGGTGGGGTTTTGAGGGGGTCAGGAAAGATGCCTTGTTTTTTAACTACCATGTTGCAGACTTGTCATTTTGGTAGAGTTTGAAGACGGGTGGAAATGATGTGTCTGAAGCCTGGTGTGCTGCAGTCCCTGGGGTTGCAAAGAGTCGGACACTGCACTGCAGGTCACCGGGGGGGGGGGGGGGGGCGACTCTTCGCAGCTCTGAGACCTAAAACCAGGCGAGAGACCTAAAACCAGGCGAGATTCCCAAGCAGCAAGTTAAAACCCTGCTCGGTTTAGGCTAGGACCAGTTTTTCCCAGATTTAGTCTTAATATGCTAGTTCCTCGCCTAGTGATGGAATGCCCAGCTCCCCACTGGCCTGGCCTGCCAGGGAAGGGAGGTGCCTGCAGACAGCTGAGCGAGTCACTCGGGTGAGTCACTCATCTCTGCTCTGGGCGGTTGATTCTATCACCAGCCTTCTCAGTCTCTAGCAGGCAGGTGGCCAGGCATGGACTTAGGGGCAGGAGTGAGAGGAAGAAGAACCCAGGAGGAGGCCCCTCAGGACCAGGGGAGACGCAGCCACTGAACACCCACAGGCAGCGGGTGGATGAAGTCCACTTGTTCTGGGAAGCTGCCCTGGCCCAGGAAGCGGCAAGTCTGGGTGGATTTTTCCAGAAGGAAACTGCTGTGAAGCCTGTGGGGCTCGCACAAGTGTTTCTCATTTGTGTCTTCAGTCCTCTGGAGCTGTCTGCACTGTCCGCAGAGCGGGGCTGGGACGGAGTCAGGGCCCCAGACAGGCCAGTGTGGGCAAGCCGAGGAGGGCGGCAGGGGTCAGGACTGTCGGGAAGCCCCTGCGTCACCAGCACTTTCAGCCCGAGTTCGTCTGATCGTGACCCTCTGTCTACAAAAGACCCTTCTGATGGGACATAAAGGCCCAGTCCTCACAACTGCAAAGCCCCACCTGATTTGCAGACACTGCCCTGAGGTGGTTTGCTTCCAAGGCATCCATACCCCACATGTGCTTCTGTAATGGGACTGCCTGGCCCAGGAGTCTGATCTCACCTCGAATCCAGGCTGGCTTTGGTGACAGTTTGTAATCCATGGGATGGGACAAAGCGGCTCTGTGGATGGGTGGGGGTGGAACCTCCCTGCAGGGACAGGAGGAAGCCTTGCTCTCTGCTCCCTCTGGTCTCTCCCAGGGTCGGTCTGTCTGTCTCTCCAGCTGCAGTGCTGGGAGAAGCCAAGCCATGTGCAGGAGGGGCCAGCTGAGCCCAGCCTTGAAGCCCTCCTGGCCCAGGAGCCAGGCAGGTGAATGAAGGAATCTCCAGACCCACGGTGACCAATAGGATTTTCCCTATGATGGATGAGAAGGTTCTGTGTGGTCCAAAGAGGTGGCCATCGACCATGTGGTAGCTCTGGCTCAGAGCTACTGTGGGAGACTTAAAATGCTGAAGCCCAGGGACTCACCTGGTGTCCAGTGGTTTAGACTCCTAGATCTACATGACCCCCCCAGCCCCCAAATACAAAACCACAAAATGTGTTAAAAATTGCTGATGCCTGGGCCCACCCCTAAGGTTCTAATTCCAGTGTAGGGAGTTCAGTGGACAGCATTCACCCCTGGTTCTAATGCAGAGGCAGGATCAGAGCCTCTTGTTTAGGTGAATCTCGTCATGACCATGAGCCAGAGTGCTCATTAGACCCATTTTACAGATGAGGAGCATGAGTCTCAGCTGGACACACAGGTCAAAGGGTGCCTGTGGGAACCCTTGGTCCTCCTAGAGTGAGAAGCCAAGCTCTGTCCAGAAGGCTGTTGCTGGGGCCCCCTGGGTTTTGGCAAGGAGGCCCTCAACCCCCCAGGAGATGGGTTATGTCTCCCCAGGGCCTGGGCTGGGACCGCATCTAATCAGCCTGATGAGAGACTCTGAACCGCCCACTCCTGCCCTGGGAGCCGCTCACTGCCCTTCTAATTTTGTCTCCTCAGCAGTCTCCCAGGACCTGGGGGCTGCAGTGGGAGTTCCCCCCACCTTGCCTTGATGAAGGGGCTGCTTTTTCCAGCTGGCTGACTCCTCTGGGGAGCAGGGACTGTGCAGATCCCTGCAAGGGGAGGGAGAACCTATTAGCAAGTGCTCTAGCAAAGAGCAGGAGGCAGTGTCCACCTAGTGCTGTTCTAGGTGCTTTTCCAGACGCTTTGTAGAATCGTCACTGGACTGTAAAGAGAGCAGGGATGTGGCAGTCGGATGCCGAGTGTTTGGCTCTGGGTGGTTCCCTCTCCTGAATCCCTGCCTTGTGTTGGGGTTTAATTCTGCTCATTTTCCTCCCGGGCTCGTTCCTCTGTGTCTTTTGGGGGTGAGGACTCTGATGCTTTCTCATCACCCAGTGGGTTGGCTTCTGCCTCCCTTCATCAGCCACTCCCAAAGCTCACACCTCTGCATATTTGCATGGGGACAAGGGTGGGGTGGGTGTGGGTGTGGTGCTGGGGTGGTTGGGGGGTTGCTCTGAGCACAACAGGAGGGCCAAGATGGGGAGGTTCGGGCCCTTTTATGTGTACCTAAGGGGCGTTGGGACATCAGTCTTGTCCTGGGTAATAGTCCCAACTAGTTGGAGGAGCTGAGGACTGAGGGAGGTGGTCCAGGCAAAGGGTTTGGAAACACAGTACTCAGCGCATAGTAGGTGCTTCTTGAAAGTGACGATGTCCCCTTATTTGTTCCCACTGGCTCTTGGCTGAGGGCCATGCACGCAGCAG